CTTAAAAGTTAAATGACAGAATGTCTGTGAAAAAAAAACTGGCTTGATATCCAGTATATAGGGTCTGTGCAATTCTCTGGATTTCAATCTGAATTGTGTTTTTAATTTAAATTATTTTGGGGATAATTAGTATTCTTTATTTCACTTTTTTCTTGTTCAACTAAAATGTGAGTCTCCCAAGGAACAAAGTTAGAATGCCTCCATGACAAGAGTGTATATATAGAATGTTTGTGGTGCTTTGTTTGATTTGGAATTTTAAAGCCCAATTAGGAATTAAGGTAAGTAGAGGGACAGAGCTATTAAGGAAATTGGAAAGGAACAGACAGTCCTGGAATGTGGCAGCTCCTGTTTTATTTTAAATGTAAGTTAAATATTAATTTTTGTTAAAAAAACACTCTCCTTCCAGGGAGGCCTTTTTTTTTTTTTTTTTTTTTTCTCTCCCACTCTTATGTTGACAGACTGCTGGTGGCTTGCCTTTCACACTAACTTATTTGGAGAAAAAAGTCTTCAGATGATCCTATTTGTATAAGAAAAAAAAAAAAGTCTTCAAAACAGCTCCCTTGTCGCCAGCATCAACAGCAGCTGAACAGGGTTGGGTTGTTGTATATTGAGAATTATTCCTTTCATTTCAAAGGAATCAAAGATGTTTGGGGCAAGCAAGAGCCCTAGTTACACATGATCAAAATAAACTAATATTAGATTTGTGCATTGAAAGAGCCTACTATCAATGAAGTCTACTGCTGAAGTCTGAGTACACTTTTTATTGTTCCAAAAGGATTTTGGAGCAAAGAGAAGACTTAGCTTTGAAAAGCTATGCTGATTTAGGAAAAATAGGAAACATTTGAAGATCTCTTTTCTGAATTCCTTCCTGCTGGAAGTTCCTGAAAGCAAGTTGGAGCCATGATGCTGTTGACTAGTAAACAGAAATCAAAAGGAACTTCAAGCTTCTGTCAAGATTCATTCCAAATATAATAAAAAAGGAAGTGATTGAATTCCCTTTAGAATTTTTAGATGAATTTTCTTATACTTTGACTGTTCTCTGAATTTATAAGAAATGGGGAACAATAGAGAAATTATAGGTTTCTAGTTTATACCTATCTTAGCATGAGTTCAATATCATATGCTTCTAGTGGTTCCTTTTCTCAAATCTTCGTTTCTTTCTTTTTCACTTTCATGCATATTTATTTATTTCTCTTTTAAGAAAATGCACAAGGCTTTATCATCTGGTGCTACATGACATTCAACATACATGTGTTATATTTTGGTATATAAAATTAAGCCTACTTCTCCTGTTACCGCCTAGCTATGGGCCTGTGGGCCTAAATTTCCTCATTTGTGAAATAAGGGAATTGAATAAGACTTGCACTTCTAAAACTATGTTCTATCAACCTGTGCACTGTTGACACTTTAGGCTGGGTAGTTCTTTTGTGGGATGCTGTCTTGTTCATCCAGGGATGGGTAGCACAATTAGATGCCAGTAGTACAACTGTACTACCTTAACCTAGTTGTGACTACCAACAATGTCTCCAGGTGGGAAAACCACTAACTAAAGCAGTGGTTCTCAAATACTGGTCAGTATCAGAATCCCTGAGGAACTTGGTGAAAACATAAAGACCCAGACTTTATGTTCTTATTGCTTTTTTTCATATACAACAAAGGCTGACAATCACTGTTCATAAGGAATAGTATCAACAAAGTGGTTTGCAATGTATGATTCTTGCACCAAGAGCCTCAGCATCACCAAGGAACTTGTTAGAAATGCAGATTTGGGGGGCTCCCCGCAAGACTCAGTGAATCAGAAGCTCTGAGAGGGGACCCAGTTTCCTAGGAAATGGGCCAGGTAAAGAAGAAGTGCAATCTTGGAACACCCAGCAAGACGTTCAGAGTGTGAGAGGTCCATGGGGAGATCCATATAAACTATTTAAAAAAAAGTGTCAGTGCTCAGGCCATACCCCAGACAAATTAAATCCCAATATCTCAGAGCGAGAGCCAGACACCAGGGTTTGTGCGTTCTCAGGTCATTTCAGTGTTCAGAAAAATTTACAAAGTTAGGTGAACACTTTCTATAAAGTCAGGTAGGATTTATACAAAGGGAAACAGAGTAGTAAGACATGGAGAAGGTTTGAAAGCACATGGCCAGTTTGCAGATCAGCAGAAAGTACAGCTACTGCCTATAAGCTTTTGACCTTTGGCAATGTCAATTCTTCCCCTAAGTTTTCCTAGATCCTTCCACCAAGAGTCATTGTGGGCTCTGCATTTCCATAGCACTTTCAATTTAATATGACATGTGTTGCTGGACAGGGGCCTGGCCCTGGGTGGGTCTGCCTAGGGCCAGCTGCAATGCGAGGTTCTTGACTCCCTGTAGGAAAGATTTCACAACATGAGTCCAGGTAACTACGAGGATACATTTATTAACACTGGAGTCAGTAAAATAAGGAAGGGCTTAGCATAGAAGAAGCAAAAGGAGAGCCTAGGCTGTGCTGCCTTGGCTCACTGGGAAGTCAGAAAAAAGGGTGCTCTGGAGTCAGGCGCCCGGGATCAGCCTGGGACAAGCTGCCAACTGCCCATTCCATCACTTGAGGTTTAGGAGATATGTGCCTGTGAAGAAAGAAGTCGGGGAGAAAAAAGAGAAGGGAATGGCCTCTGGCTGCTCCCAGAGGAAGAGTGAAAGAGCTAGGAGTGAAAGAGCTGGGTCCTTTGTCTTAAGGCTTTTACCTCTTTCTTGCAGGTGGCAGTCTTAGGGGAGGTCTCAAGGGAAGGGTTTCGGCAGCATATTTATCAGTTCTCCAGATACGCCCTTTCCGAGTCATGTTCTCCCCTGACTGGTCAGCGACAGGGCAGGGGTCTTTAGTCATTGTGGGTTCTGGCATTGCTCACCTGGTTTTGCTGCTTTTCTGGGCCTAGAGCTAACAACTGAGGCCTTGATGTTATCTCCAGGGAGGAAAGGCCAGGGGAGGAGAGGTTACCCTGGGGAGTAACATCCTTGTTTTCCCAGTTTTCTGCTCTGCCAGGCCCAGGGGGCCTTGAGCTCTGGTGACACTCTGCGTCTGCCTATAAATTGCTTGGCCATTGTATTCAGCTTTCCGTCTCATTTTCCCTATTCAACATGCTAAGGAATTTTCCTAGCTTCTTACTATCTTGTCTCTCCTGTACCACATTCTACCTTATATCATCATCATGTTTGTCTCCTTTACAACATTATGAGCTCCCTGGCTCACTTGCCTCTTCTCTCCCCTAGAACACTTACTTTGATAGTAGACATCCAAAGATATCAATTTAATTGACAAATATTAAATAATGTGTAAATGTCACAGAATGTAAAGATAGTCTGTGGCAATGATAGTCTGTAGGAAGTCCCACAGTAAGACTTCCTAGCCTGGTATGCTTTAAAACCTCCCACAGGTAGATTGATAACTCTGGACTCCAAAATCTTCATCTGAAATGAGGCACAATCCCTAGGGAAAATGTTTCAAGTGCAAATTCTGGAAAATAGGATATCCAAAGCATTGAGTACACACTCAGCTCCAAACTGAGGCTTTTCCATCAGTGGGATAAGCCAAATGAGTGAGATTTAATGGGGAAAAATAATAAAGACACGATTCTTTGGTGTTTCTTGGAGTTACAGAGCCAAGGCTGTTCATGGTCAGAGTGCTTAAGTTCAACAAAATGAATGAAGGAATGAGCATGCATTTCTGACAACCTTCTGGGCATAGTGGTGATCCCACACAAAAGCCTTCTTTAGGAAGTTCATATCAACTACATGATCCATGTGGCTCTTTCCCATTGCCCTTCCCCCTCGCTCACCATCCCGATAGCCAGGAGGACTGGTGAAATTGCCAAGGGCACTAGGAGACCACAGGAATGCCTTCAGGAGGCAGGCTGGAGTCAAGGGTCCTTTGCTTAAGCTCTCAGGAATCCTTGTGAGACTGTGGAGCCAAAGAACGGGACAGGGGAACATCTTGGCTCCGAAGGTGTTTATGAGAGAGGAGAAGCAGAGGAACAGGAAAGCCTTCAGCTAGTCCTTTGGAGTCTGGCAGCCATTTCTGTCAGCTTTCCCATTTCTAGATTGATACTCATTGCATAAGTCCTGGGGGTACTGGATTTATGAATTTCCTCTTCGTTCAACTCTTAGAAGAATTTATATGTGAAAACTTTTTGAGGTGTTGGGACATTTGTCTGGTTCAGGAGATATAAGAACTGAGGCTCAGTCGCATAAGGTCACAGGGTGAGTAAACAGAGGCACGATTTAAATACAGCTGCTCCTTTCTCCAACAATTCTTTGGGTCGTGTAATACAGCAGGCTGCATAGAAAGGTCGACTATTCATAGTTCCTCCTTTGCCCTCAACTCCCTCTCACCTCATGACTCTGACCCCTACAGCACAGAAACACACCCACGCAAAGTGGGATGAGTGGACAAGGGACGGCCACTTCCTAAGGGTAGAAGCAGTCAGCTTTGAGTCCCAAGGGCCAGGGGTGAGATCTATAAACCGGCTGATCACTCTTCTCAAGCCTCCGCAACTGGGCGAACTGGCCCTCTAGTGTTTTTCTACAGCCTGAAATGGATCTTCAGTGCTTCCTCTGAAGGTGAAAATCTTTGCAAACTGCGAGGTCAAATACCAATTCCAGAAAATGATTAGAACTGTAACCGCACTGGTCCGGACTTCCTTCCTCTCCAAAAAGGGAGTCATCATATCCATTTTGCAATCTAGAAGGGACGTCACGAGTAGAGCTTCGCCCAGGTTGCCATCAAGTTGCGCTCGTTCTCTGGGTGACACTTGGGTGTACGGGCCTTGGCACCCCGCGGCTGCGGCCCGGAGCCGGCAGGGCGCGCGCTGAGCGCCGGCGAAAAGCTCTCGAAGGCTCCGGGCAGCAGGAGGAGCGTGTGAGCTGTGGGCGTCTCTTTTAAGAGCTGCCGGCCGACTGGCCTCCGCCTCCTAGTCCTCCGAGCGCCGGCGGTCACCTGGGGCTGGCAGGACAGCCAGATCGCGGCAGGGCCAGCGCTCTTACCCGCGGAGGCCGGAGGAGAAGCCGGGACTCCAGGTGCCGGGACCCGTCTGCGGAGCGTGGCCGTCCTGCGTCTCTCCGCGGCGGAGAATGCGGGAGCGCATCTGGGCGCCGCTGCCGCTGCCGCTGCCGCTGCTGCTGCTGGTGGTGTTGCAGCTACCGCCGCCACTGTGGGGCGGCCCCCTGGAGAGCCAGCGCCCGGAGCTGGAGTCGCAGCCGGGGCCTCTGCAGCCCTTTGACCAGCTCTACGCCAGCGGCGTGACCGCCTACTATAGCGGGGACTACGAGGTTGCGGTGCGGGACTTGGAAGCAGCGCTGCGCAGCCACCAGCGCCTGCGGGAGATCCGCGCGCGTTGCGCCCGCCACTGCGCCGCCCGCAGCCCGCTCGCGCCCCCCGGCGCTGGGCCCGGGGCCGAGCTGCCCTTCTTCCGCGCCTTGCTGGAGCGGGCGCGCTGCTACCGCAGCTGCCAGACCCAGCGCCTCGGGGGCCCCGCATCCCGCCACCGCGTCAGCGAGGATGTGCGCAGCGACTTCCAGCGACGAGTGCCCTACAACTACCTGCAACGAGCCTACATCAAGGTACCTAGAGCGCACACCTAACGCTCCCTATGCCTCCAGGTGCTCTCTTGAGCCCTCCTCACTGTTCTTGCCTCCTTGCTAGTTTGAGTCTCTAATGTCTCTTAAAAAAAAATTAATTTATTGGAGTGACATTGGTTAATAAAATTATATAGGTTCAGGTGTACAGTTCTATAATACATCATCTGTATATTGTATTGTGTTCACCACCCCAAGTCTCCTAACACCATTTAAAAACGTCCCCCTTTACCCTCTTCTACCTCCCCTCCACTACTCTTTCTTTCTGATAATCACCTTATTGTTGTCTGTGTTTATAAGTTTTTTTTTCTTTTGCTCAATCCTTGCACCTTTTTCACGGGCCCGCAACTTTCCTCCCCTCTGACAGTTGCCAGTCTGTTCTATATATTTATGAGTCTGTTTCTATTTTATTTGTTTATTTTGTTCATTAGATTCCACATATAAGTGCAATCATATGGTATTTGTCTTTCTCTGACTGGCTTATTTCACTTAGCATGATACTCTCCAGGTCCATTCATGCTGTTGCAAAAGGTAAGATGATCTTCCTCTTTCTCCTCCCCCTCCTCCTCTTCTTCTTCTTCCTCTTCCTCGTCCTCTCCTCCTCCTTCTTTTTTGTACAGCCAAATAGTAAAATAGTATTCCATTGTGTAAATATCACGGCTTTTATAGGAGACCCTAAAAATTCCACCATGAAAATTATTAGAGATGATAGATGAATTCAGTAAAGTGGCAGGATACAAAATAAATATCCAGAAAACAGTTGCATTGTTGCATACCAATAATGAACTATCAGAAAGGGAAACTAACAAAACAATCCCATTTGCAATTACATCAAAAAATAAAATAGAATACTTTGGAATAAATTTAATTAAGAATGTAAAAGACTTGTACTTGGAAAATTATAAGACACGAGAGAAAGTAATTGCAGAAGATAGACATAAGTGGAAGCTTACAATGTGCTCATGGACAAGAGGAATTAACATCATGAAAATGTCTCTACTACCCAAAGTAATCGATAGATTCAATGCGTTTCTTATTAAGATATCAATGGCATATCTCAGAGAACTAGAACAAATATTTGAAAAACTTATATGGAACCAAAAGAGACCCGAGTAACCACAGCAATCTTGAGAAAGAAGAATAAAGTTGGAGGAATCACGATCAAACAATACGACAAGGCCATAGTAATCCTTTAATGTTTCTGTCTTTTGTTTGTGGATTCAGGTATCTGGTTCCAAGAACTCTGTAACCAACACTAGATGAACTTGGGAAAGATATTAGATCTATTGCAATTAACCTCTCTCTCAAAAGGGACTGTACTGATTTAAAGTCCCCACTAAGCACTAATTCTTGAGACTGTCAGAACTGAGTCTAGCGTAGCGGCTTCTCTCGCTTCATTTCTTGGTGTAGACTCACACCATTTTCTCTGCTGTCCCCACTTCATCCTTCTTACACACTAGTCTGCACCCTTCCTCTGAAGTTAAAAAAAGAAAAGAAAAGAAAAAAGCATTCTTAAAGCAGCAGAGTTAAAAGTAGGCTTGCTCTGAAACATCCATCTCTTCCCCTGCATCTACAAAATACTAAGATCAAAGATTAAAGGGATGGAATGCTTGGAAAAGGTGAAATCTTTGTGAGGCAATCTCACTAAGGCTTTCTGTTTCTGGAGGTAAGCACTGGACTGGGTTTTTCAACATCAGATGCCCAGTGATCTCTTTCTGTTTTTATTTCTGTCTATTAAGTGTTCCAGAACTTAGTGTCAGAAGGTATACGGTGTATATGAACATTTCCCCTGTATTAACAGTTTTGTAGACCTATCTGGATGCTTCAGCAGAAAGACTTTAGCTTGTGTTTCTCAACCCCACTCCCACTCTTACTCACTCATGTTGCTCTTAACTTGCACTTTCTCCCCCTTTCTGCCTTTCTGTGTCAATATATCAATGTCTTGTCTACAGCTGTTGGAGAAGTGGCAGCTCGTGCCAGCCAATGGGCCCGGCTGCTTTTTTGGGGTGGTGAAAATACACACCATGTACAGATATGCAGGTGCGTTTTGTAGCTCCTCCTTGAAGATCTCTCCGCTCACAGGTGATAGGATGCTTGGTAGATTTGCAGTTGTTGGTGGAGTTCAGGAAATCATAACAGAGACAAATGCTTAAAACTCCCAGTGCTGGGGCTAAGGTGCTGGAGTTCACTATGTTATCGCGGGCAAGAAATAAGGAGGGAGTCAGAATCCTTTCCAGGATTTGTCTTCTACTTACTTGTGCCTCTTGAAAGATTTGCAAAAGCATATATTAAGTATAAATCTGATTTCTTTTTAATGAGTGGACAATTTTTGGTCATCTTACGAAAATCAATCAATGGTAGGCAGAGAGGGGACCTGAGTACCTGACAGCTGACGATACACTAAGCTAGTTCCCAAAGGAGAATCCATGTGATCCTCAGCATACTTTCCTAGGAATCTCAGATTGAGGCTGGTAGTCTTGCTGATAGTTTTGTCTTGGGCAGATTTTCTTTTCTCAGGTCCTATGAAAATAAATACCTAGGAGATAACAAAATGCACATTTCTTTGGTTCTGTAATTAAGCTTGCTTCATTGTAAAAGTTAACATTCATCATTCCCCTGCCCCTTGGCTGGAGGTCAAAGAAGGTGAAGCCATAGGTTTAACATGCCTCAAACTGTTGCAGCGAATTGATTACAAGAGTTAGTCATTCATGGGCACTCTGTGGTTGAACTACTTACTAGGTGCGGTCTGATGAACCAATGAAGCTTAAAAGTTCTTTTAAAAATATATGGATTAATTAAAAAAAAAATACCAGGAATGTTTCTGAGAGCAGAACAAATCTTGATTCTCCTCCATATTCATCCCTGCTCGTACAGACAATGTTTTTTGGATCCATATAATTTATAATCTCTTTGGAAATTCATTTCTGATGGTTGGAGTTTGCAGGAGTATTTTCATGAATGTTGAGTATGGTGCATGATTGTTCTCTCCCTTCCCTCCACAAGTTTAGCTTTTGCTTAGCTTACAAGGAATTTCACACATACACACTATCTTTTGAGAGTAAATAAAAAAATCTCAAATAATAACAGAATATCCTCAGGTTTGACAGGCATGGATCCTAAAATATTCATTTCCTGATGATAGAATGGGGCATTCCCTGCATATGCTTGGAAATGATCATGTTATGGTTGAATTACTTTTGATCAAAGATCCAGTTTGCACTTGAAAAAGATATTCTTGGGCCAGATTGAATTCAATAAGGACTTTGCAGCCAGGATTTCAGAATTGCAAATCTTATAATACAGTCAGAACTAGCAGGCTTCCTAGAGATAAGGAAATATACAGTTATTTTCAGCTAGGGCTTTACAAACTGTGGAAGCTCTTGGGAGATGCTGTCCCCCGCACCGCTCCTCCAGCCACACACAAAACCCAGGTGCTGAACCACTGATGGAAGCAGATCCTTTTTGCTGGTGTGTTGGAGGGGAAAAATTGAAAACTGTAAAATCTGAGTCTGGTTCAGGTCCATTTCTCATTTCATAGACAAGGAAAGGGAGACTGAGAGAGGGAAAGGGGCTTGCCCAATGTCACATGATTTGATTTGATGAAATGAGCCCAGGACCAGGATTCAAGAGTCTGGGCTCTGCCAGTAACGGATGCCTATGCCTGTGCTGTGCCCTCTGCCCCATGGGGCCGCCTCGGGTCCCTGAGAACGCTGTAGTCTCCAGGGCTATCTTTCTGCCAGATTTGGACAGCTCCAGTGATGAGCCGATCCTTGTCCTGCAGGACAGCAGACACACATTGCATTTTTCTTAAGGCCGGCTCTGTAGAATCTTCTTTATGTCCTGGCATGTTGGGAATTCATCTGAATATCTACAAGGCAACAGTTCCACCTGGCTCTTAGCTCTCCTTGTTTGTTTAAAGGCAAGGCAAGACTATTCAAGCTTTTGATTTTTATCATTTCCTATTGTAAGATATAATTCATGATTCATAGTCCAAAACCAAAAATGAAGCTTTTATCATAGTGTTCTCTGAGAAACCTTCAGTGGTTTCCCCTTGCTCCTGTATAAAGCCCACATAGTTTAACACAGCATCTACAGCCTCATTCTGCTTAGCTGAATTGGCCCTACCTCCCCCAACTCTGCCACCCTCCAGCCAGAGGCAACGATGGATGCCTGGTCTTATATGTCTGACACTTTTGCACATCTGGGCTTTGTTTATTCTTCTTTGGGAGGCATGTAGTCTCTGAAATGAGATAGTTCTGGGGTTGAACTTCAGTTCCTCAATCTCTGGCTATGTGACTGTGAACGCATTTCATACAGTTTCTGAGCTTTACTCGCCCCTTCTGCAAAATGGGGAGATGATAGGACTTTCCTGACTGGTTTGGGTTGGGTGTCAGAGGAGATTTATGTAAAGCACCCAGGACAGGGCCTCTTTCTCTCTTAACACTGGCAGCAAGTTTCTGCTTATTAGGTCTAATAGATTTTTCCTTTTCTATGCGTTGAAATGATAACTATACTAAGACAAATGTACCTATTTCTGTGAGGTCCTCTTTCACTCCCTGTGTAACTCCTAACAATCCGTCATGTCTCACTCCTCTAAATGTCCACAGCAAAGAATGAGTTTCTCTCATACCATGTTTTATTTTTTTATCTTGTTTTGGGGAAATGCATATAGCTGCCTATCACTTATGTGAGCTCCTTGAGATCAAGAAGTGTTTTTGTCATTGTTATATCTGCTTGAGTAGGAGTTCCCAGATCTGGATGATTATTAGATGGATGATTATTATTGATCATCTGGGCATTAAAAATGCAATTTGAAATTAGAGATTTGGGTTCAGTAGGTTTGAGTTGGATCCTCAGAATCTATTTTTTCCTCAAATACCTAAAATAGAGGGCAATAACAGTTAATGCTCAGTATCTATTTGTTGAATAAATAATAGCTCGGTTCCTTGTGCATGACGTCTTGTGGAGAAAGATTGTGCATGGTG